GTATGCTGGCATCTCCCTTTTAATTCCCAGGACCCTTCATTTTTACCTTTCCCATGACTCTGTCCATGGTCTGCCACAGGTGAGACCTCGTGTCATTCCTTCTGCTCAGAAGTAATTGCGGAATCTCCTGCATGGTGGGGCCTCACGCTCCACAAACATGGTCCCCTTGTCAGTAAATATTTGTTGAATTGAGTAAAATTGATCTGACCGTTGAAAAGGATTGTAAGATTTCTATTCTTGGGACAGTTAACCTTTTATCTACACGTGTTTGGGCTGGTGCCATCCAATGGAAATGTAATGTGTGACACGCATGGAAATGTAAATTTTCTAGCAGCCACGTTGGCAAAAGGGAAAGGAAACAATTTTTAATAATATAGTTTATTTAACCCAATATACCCACTATCTTATAATTTCAACATAAATCAGTGAGATAATTTTCTGGTTTTTTCCCTAATATATCCACTATCTTATAATTCCAACATATAATCAGTGAGATAATTTTTACTTTTTTCCTAATATATCCACCATCTTAGAATTTCAACGTATAATCAGCGAGATAATTTTTGTTTTTTTGTTCTACCAAGTCTTCGAAATCCTGTGTGTTTGACACCTACAGCACCCGTCAATTTGGACACCAAATTTTCATCAGAAATATTTTATCCATTTTTAGGTTTCATAAACAACTAGAGATCATAAAATGAATTCGCAAACCCAAGTTGTTCCAGACACACTTAAACATTTTCTTTCTTTCTTTCTTTCTTTCTTTCTTTCTTTCTTTCTTTCTTTCTTTCTTTCTTTCTTTTTTATGTTTATCTTAGAGAGAGAGACAGCATGCAAGTGGGGAAGGGGCAGAGAGAGAGAGGGAGACAGAGGATCTGAAGCGGGCTCTGTGCTGACAGTGTGGAGTCCGACACAGGTCTCAAGCCCACAAGATCATGACGTGAACCGAAGTCGGACACTTAACCACCCAGGTGCCCCTAAACATTTTCTAATAACTGAATCAAACTTATTCAAATTACATAAAATTCAAAATTCAGTTCCTCAACCACTTTTTTAAATGCTCAATAGCCACAAATGGCTAGTGGCTGCTGTGTCGGACCGCACAAACCTGGACACCTTGGCCAGGTGACCCTTGGTAAGCCCCTCTGGTTCTTTGATTCACAGGTGTATGAATGTGGCTCCTGGCGTCTCTGGGATGTTATGCTCCCCGCTGGAACTGATAGATTCTAGGGTGGAAGGAACATTTGCTCTTCTCCCACATTAGCCTGCCGCTATTAGGTGTGAGGTGGGAACCGGCCTGGAGGTCCCAGTCGGGCCGTGCAGAGACTCCCCTGCCCCAGAGGAGCTCTGTAGCAGCCCCTAGAGGTCAGAAAAGCATAAGTCTTGGGTGCAGGTGGTGGACTGTGGCCTTCAGATTAGACTTAACATCAGGTTAGGGGCGCCCTTTTCCAAGTAGCTCAAACTCCCATGTACGGAAATAAAAACGCCACTCCTGAGTTGAGGCTGACCTCCTGGCATCTCATGCAAGGTGAAATGGCCCGTGGGTTTGTTATTTGCTCCCTTCTGTGGATGGGGAGGTTAAAAAATAATTCCGCGTTAGAAGAAAGGGAGAAACAGAGAGGGCATCCTTATGCTACCAAATTTGTCCCGTGCAGGTCTGCCCAGCAGCACTCCCCGCGCCGCCCCCCCCCCAGCCCCCAGTCAGAGCCCCTCTCCACTGGTGCATGGTCCTGCAGGGGGTCAGGCCAGAGAATACCCTGCCAGTGGTCTTGCCATCCAGGTGTCCATGGAGCCCATAAAGGTGGAGGGAGGGGCACAAGATGATTCTGTCTCTAGGTGGAAGTCAAAAGGGACTTATGGCTATTCAGCCCTTTTGAGCTAAAATGAACATTTCAGCCTTTACTTCTGATTTCCTACTCAGCCAGGGGACTAGCCCCGCATAGGGACTAAGTCAGCCAGTCTGACTTTCCCACCTGCTGTCACTTCGGCTATCCTAGTCCAGGAAGGGAGCCATAGGGAACTGAAACCTGCAAACCCGTTGATGTGGGCGGGAGCAGGGAGGAGGCTTTCCTCCCTGCATGGCTTGTTGCCTTCTCTTTGGGCCTTATCAACCCACACGTGTGTGCTGAATGCTAAATACGCTCAGCTATTAAAAATGCAGGAGATGAGCCCGCTGCTCCAGAAGGAAAATGAGCCAGAGCAAAAGAAAAATCAGCAGGCTCCCTGGCCTCCTGCGTGTGCCCGGCAGTGAGGTGGGGGAGGGTGTCCCTCTCCTTCCTCAGGCAGGGCTCCTCTGGATGCTTAGAATGAGGTCTGTGTCCCCCTGGAGCAGTGGAGGTTTGGGGAGTAGGAGTGGTGTGGAAGTCTTTCCCAGCACTCTCTGCAGAGGGGGAAGAGCTGAGAGGCCCTGGCTGAGTGCCTTGGGAGAAACGAGGCTGGCTTATCGGTTCTTGCCTGGTGTTGCCATGAAGTGGGGGCAAGACCACGGCTCCGTATTAATGGCTCCCAGAGGACGTAGGGAGTCTTCTCCGGGCTCCCGCTTGGGGAAATCTCAGAGATCCGAAGTGCTGCAGACCCTCCAGGTGACCCAACTTACCCTCTGATCACCCAGATTCTTGGGATTCTTGCGGCGGCCTCTGCCTGGTCTCCCTACCCCTCACCGTGCCCTTCCCCAGTCTGCCGTCCACACCCCCCACCTGAGTACATCATGCCCCTGCCCTGCTCACAACTCTCCAGGGTCTCTCAGTTGTTTGCCTACAGAGCAGAGGCTTAACCTCTTCGGAGGTGGACATATGATCTGGCATTTCCCACTTGTCCAACTGCTGCCGCCAACACTTTTAACTCCTTCATTTCATATTCCAGGCGTCCCAGTCTATTTGTAGCTCCTCAGACGTGCCTCCATGTGCTGGCATGTGCTGTTTCCCTTACCAGAAGCAACCTCTCTGCATGTGTGTCACTTCCTCCATGAAGTCTCCCCAGACTTTTCTTTAACTTTTTTAAAAAATTTTTTTTAACGTTTATTTACTTTTGAGACAGAGAGAGACAGAGCATGAATGGGGAGGGTCAGAGAGAGGGAGACACAGAATCCGAAACAGGCTCCAGGCTCCTAGCTGTCAGCACAGAGCCCGACGCGGGGCTCGAACTCACGGACCGCGAGATTGTGACCTGAGCCGAAGTCGGCCGCTCAACCGACTGAGCCACCCAGGCGCCCCAACTTTTTTTTTTTTTTAATGTTTGTTTCTTTTTGAGAGAGACAAAGACAGAGCGTGGGTGGGGGAGGGGCAGAGAGAGAGAGGGAGACACAGAATCCGAAAGAGGCTCCAGGCTCTGAGCTGTCAGCACAGAGCCCGACACGGGGCTCGAACTCATGAACCACAAGATCAGGACCTGAGTCGAAGTCAGATGCTTAACCGACTGAGCCACCCAGGCACCCCTTCCCAGACTTTTATGCTTCTTCCTCTAAGCTCCCACTAGCACTCAAGCTACTGCTGTAAGAGCCTTCGTTGTCTATTATACTCATTTGCATCTTTATCCTCCCCTGCCTCCATCTGGACCTTTAGCTCCCTGGCCTCCTGTGGTGTAGCATGGAATCCAGCGTCCCAGCAAATATTTGCTAAGTGAATGAATAATGAGTGAATGAATGAAGGAGCTTGTGAAATAGAACTGCTCCTTTCCCCCTCCTCATGCGATTTTTCTGATGCTAAAGGAAACGATAGGTATAAATAGCTATCTTTTGAGTTCTGGGTGAGAAATCAGACTGCCAGGCTCCCATCATGGGACTGTTGTCCCTATCACAATTATGAGAGTTGGGAAGGGAGAAGTATGGTCCTGTATGATCAAAAGGAAAAACCTTTGTGCTCTGGCAAGAAGGGGAAGCTATTTTCCCTTAAATTAAGGAAGAGGCAAGTTCAGCGCATCCTTGTACCATGGCCTCTGCCTGCGTTTGCACCCATGTCCCAGGACGCACTTGACTGCGAGGAAAACCCTAATCAGAAGGGAACCAAGGAGTCGGTATAGCATCCCACAGAAGTCCCTCCCTAGACCCCACTTACAAATGCAGCCCCTCACACAAGACATGAGGGGGGCATTCTGGGGCTGGTTTTTACCCCTAGTGGTGCAGGTTTGGGTGTTAAGGGAGCAGTGGGGCAGAGGGTGAGGGGGGGAAAGGCAGGTAGAGGAAGGGAAGTAGATGGAGGTTACTGTGATGAGCCCCAGAGGGAGGGAATGGAAAGGGCAGTCATGAGAGGATGGGAGGAACAGGCCAGAATGTTAGAGCATCCGGGGGGACCATGTCCCTTCCAGGACACAGAGGCATAGGAACTGAAACACTTGAGTGCTGCAGGCTCACTGGGTTTCCAGATGATCAAGATAAGGACAATGGACAGCTCCTTGTGTAGAAACTCAGCTGACCTTGTCAAGTCCCAAAAGTGCTCAGAAATAGGGCCTAGAGTCTAGGGAAGGAACATACAGGCTAGGACAGCTGGGGAAGGAAACAAATGACATGACCGAGAAAGGGAGGAGGAGCCACAAAGATTAGTAGTCACCGTCCTCTGTGCTCACACTGCACATGGTACTTATTAGATGCCTCCAGAGCCTCACGTCTGCTCGGTGACAAGATGAGGAAGCAGCCCACACTGATGAAGAGAATGGTCCAAGATTACAGCTGGACGATGGTGGAGCTGGGACTCTACCCCAGGACTTCTCACTGCCAGTGCTAAGATCAGGTGCACCGTCCTGAGAGCTGCTTGAAGTCAAGCCCCACTGCTGCCCTTCACTTTGCTGATTGAATGCCCTGAGGCAACCTTTCTAAACCCCAGGTTCCTCCTCTATAAACTGGGGGTGAAGGTTAGGTACGATCTTCCATAGCCTCCTGGCCAGCAGTGGCAAGTGCTCAGTATATGAGTGTCAAGAGACAATGAGAGGAGGAGTGGATGGGGGGTGGGGATCGACAAGCCGCCCCCCCCCCTCCTTTGTAATCACTCTGGCTCCTCCACCAGGAAGGGAGACAGCTGCAGGCTGCCACTTACCTCCAGCGTTTGTTCTGACGGAGCACTGGTTTGGTTTTATTGTGTTATGTGACTTAACCTTCACTGAGAACATTAATTCACTCATCGACCATTCACCGAGCCCTTCCTCAGTGCCAAATAATGCATATGTCATTGAGGTAACTCCAGAGCAACATGGACACTTGGTCAAGGTCCTTGTCCTCAGGTAGCCCATTTTCTGGTCAGGCCACATTAACATAGAACTGAGACCTTGCCATTTGACATGATAAATGTGGCACAAACACCTAGGAAGGAACAGCCAGCCCTGAGAGAGAAGAGGACATTTCATCTGGATCTGGGCAGATGGGGGAGTATTCACCCGGAGGAGGGAGGAGGGCACCGCCACAGAAGGAACCGCCCAGCCCACATAAAGGCCAGGAGCCAAGCTGAGAGCTGGGTGTTTAAGGAGCGGTAAGAGCCCCACCAGGCTGTGGGGGAAGGTTCCCCAGGGCGCGGGCTGTGGGGGGCTGGGCTGTGAGGTTGGACTCTGGACAGCGGGGAGCCCGCCAAGCCTTTGGAACAGCAGGACGGCGGGGCCAGATTTGCACGGGAGCTGAGTGGAGGCTGAGAAGAGGCTGGGACGGAAAGACTGGTGGTAGGGATTTTCATCAGTGTTCAGGCGAGCAACGATGACCAGCAGGTAGACCTGTGAGTGACCGAATGTCAGGAAAGAGCCAAGGTCTCTGACTGGATGGTGATGTTGTGAACCAGAAGAGTTTGTTTTTTGTTTTTTGTTTTAATACAAAGTATTTAGTTTGGGACAAAGAATTTCCTGAGTCTGCTGTAGGTCCATGTCAAGTCTCCAGCTCTTGATGGTTTAAACAGTGTGCTCAGTGTTCTGGATGGAGGTGTTTGGGGTGCAGGGCTGCCTGCCCAGGATTCCATGTGGAGAAGAAAAGAGCAGAGTGAGTGACACCCTGGCTCCCAGGCCACTTGTGAGGGAAGACGCTCCCTGGGGCTCTTCATGTGTGAAGGACGGTGGGGAGCAGAGGCTGGGGCACCCACAGGCAGCCAGGGACACCGTGCCATTTGTGCATCCCCAGTCTGCTCAGAACAAGCTTCCTGAAAGCAAAAGCTGAGGACCTGAGCCCAGGGCTTGGCTCCGGGCCTCCCCTGGCAGGGGGTGAAGGAGGATGTTCTGTGAGGAGTCCTCTCCCCTCCCCACTGCCCCCCAGTCGGTGTTGGCTCCTGGGCCCGAGAGAGACAGTGAATGTCTTGGCTGTGCTGGGTCTGGAAGGCGAGGAACAGGCCGGGCAGACGGGAGCCGCCTGCAGCTCTGGTAGCGGGAGCCAATGACCTCTGGTGGCTACAGAGGGGAGCGCTCCTGCTTGCTTCTCCAGAGCCTGTCCTGGGCTGGGGGGGGGGGGGGGGGGGGGGGGGGCGGGGCGGGGTTGGGGTTCTGTTCTGCTCTACACCAGCGCTCCCTCCAGGATCCACTTGCTTCCTGGTCGCTGACATCTCAAGTCCTGCCCTCAGAGGCTCTGATACCATTTTTGCCTTGATGTGAATTTCACTCGGTATTCGTTTTAACTGACACTTTTAGTTGTCAGAGCAGGTGCAATTGGTCTGGCCTAGGGTTGGTCTCACACTCCTCCTGGATGCGCCACCCAAGGCAGCAGCACAGCAGGCAAGCTGGTCCAAGTGCACTCTAGAGACAGCCTGTCCTGCACGACTTACCCTGCTGTGCCAGGACTCTGTTTTCCCTTCTTCATCTTCCTCTCCTCTAGCTTGCTGATTTTTTCCCACAGTCTTAGGGCATTACGACTCACCAGGAATGGCATTTAGTGCCTGTTGATCTCCCAGCGGGTTTGGGGACCACCTTCTGAGCTCCGGGCCTTGCGAAACCCTGATTAACCAAAGTGCTGGAGAGACTTAACAGAGGCTGGTGCTGGGGCCTTCTGCCTCCAGGAAATCTGGAGCAGCTGAGAACCCATGCAGTCAGTCTTACAGAAGATGTCTTAGAGCCAGAAGGACCCCCGTTACCTCCTGCTCACTTTTCCTCCAGAATGCGTTCTCCAGCTGGGATCTCTAACCTCTCGTCCAGGCTTGGGCCGTGCATACAAGATCAGGGATTGAGAAACAATGGGGAAGGGAAGATGTCCTACCTAGTTCTGTTTTTCCTCTTCACTACACCCCCCAAAAGTGATCCTCCCCTGGGTGAATATGGTAAATATGGAAGGCCACCAGCCCCTTCCTCCTCCCGCCTTGTGTGGCCCTCCCTCCATTGTCGGACCAGAAGGCAAAGAGGACACAAGTTTCTGATGAGTTGCAGCCCAGAGGTATACCCCACAAGACTCAGGGTCAGTAGGGAGAGGGGACAGCACAATCTTCTCTCCCCTTTTTATTTTAGCTCCAATTTGTTGAAGGCCAACTGTGTGCCCAGCACTTTGCTAAGCACTCCGTTTGTATGATCTCATGTAATCACCTCAAATCTCTACCATGATCTTCATTTTACTGATAGGGAAACTGAGGCCCAGAGTGGTAAGTTCCTGAAATAAGGTAGGGAGGGCAGCCCCCATATGCCTATACGAGTCTGTCCCCGCCAAGGAGGCAGGGAGGAACTGAAACCGGCACATTTCCTCTTTCCAGGTCAGCCACCCTCTTCTAATTCTCACAGAAGTCCTTACGGGCTTGCTGAGGCCCTGGACTCGGGAAGTCTGATGGCTTTTCTACCATAAGGCAACTGGCAGGATTCGCATCTAGGTTTGTCTGATTTGAAGCCTATATTCCTAACGATTATCCTAAACTATCTTGCAACGCCCCGTAGAGCAATGACATCCAACCTTCCTTGTTTCACTTGCTCCTGGCCACTTTTACAATTCATCAAAGTCCCCAGGTTCATCTCTCCCCCATTCATAATGGGCTGAAGGGAAAGTCTCACATCTTCTCAGTGGCTAACCACCTCTCCTCCGAGTTGATGGAGATGTTGGCCCATCACCCAAGTCACTGATGGAGATGCTCTAACCTTCCTGGCCGGCGACAGGCCCCTGTGAGCTCTGCTGGGTACCGCTCTGGGCTGGCACGAGACCCCGCCACCCAATCTTTTTTGCCTCTGCTGCCAGGGCCTCTCACCCCCAATAGCTCTGTGGTCTGACCACGTTTTCCCAGTTTATTGAGGGTGGGTTATATGGGAGCGAATCCAAAGCTGTGCAAAGTCCAGGAGAGAGTAAACACAGTGCTTTCTCCCTGACCACCGGACCTGACCCTCAGCCACAAAATAATATTGGATTAATCTGGCAGGTTTTTTTTTTTTTTTAATTTATGTGCTCTGTGGTTGATTACCCTGTTTTCTGTTTGCTTAAGGTGTTTACAAATTGGCTTTCTAAAAGTTTTTCCCAATCTGTTTTTCCAGATTAAAAAAAAAAAAAAAATTGATTCATTCATCGGGATTTACATAGTGCCTCCTCTATCCATTGAGGACTTTGTAGCTCTGTTACTGAGGCTGATTCTTAGCAATTGCCTGACCCTCAGGCTTTAAGAATGTCCCAGGTATTTCTTCCACTTGAAGAATTTAAACTTGATGTAAATAATGTCCTGATAGCTGCTCCCAGAATGCATCCAAATGAGCCAAATTTAATTCCTTCTCTGAGGATCTTTTAAAATAGAGTAAATCCCCCCTTTTATTTGGGATGACTTAAATACTGTCACTGCTTAGAAGGCAGGAGGCTGGGTGAGGTGGCCTGTTCAAGGATCTGGCAGTGACTCAGAGATCCTCAAAATTCTGCCAGGCCAGTAGCACAGGCACATGGGCCTTTGTCGAAAGAATTGGTGGGAAGAAATCAGACAGCTGAGAACTCTCATCAGACACATAACCCACAGCACAAATACCATATGTCTTCAGGCTCTTGCCTGTCAAATCCATCTTTACCCTGCGCCGGTAAGTAGAGCAGAGCTGGCAACGATTTCTGCAGGCCTCCAGATTTTCTGAACCGTTCTTTTAAGACTTATCTGTTGATGATGAAAGAATAAATCAGATCCACAGGACCTTGTAGCTGGCAGGAGAGCAGCTGGTCCCGAAAGACACGGGTGGCCCTTGAAACGGCACCGTGAGATTCTTCCACCTCTGCTCTTTTGCAGACATCACCCCGGGCAGGAATCCACTTGGTGCCGGGAGAGCCATTTTTCTTAAAGCCAGAGCAGCCTCCTCGGTCCTGAATGATAAATTCAGACAGGCACTCAGGAAGAAGACATGGCAGCCAAAGCAGCAGAAAAGAAGCAAGGTAGATGTCTCCCCCACATAGCCAGGAGGCTGAGGGAGGACTTCCCAGGATCCCTTCCCTGGACCAGAGACAGAGATACAGGGCTAACAAGGAGATAACTACTCCCAGTATATTAGACACAGCAGGGGAACAAGACGCAGCCCTGGGCTCCCTGGCAGCGAACGAAACAGGCATTATGAAAGCAACAGGGACAGAGCCAGACTCACCTTTCCCTTTCAAACTCTGCTCCTCCAAGAAAGGACAATAGCGAGGTGATAAATGCAACTAATTGTGGGACTCAGGAAGTGTGTGAGTTGCATCCCTTAAGACAGAAAGGGAACTTGAAACTTGAGGGGCTTGGGCTTTCCTGGGGAGGGAGGCGGTTACTGCCAGGCTTGTTTATCACCTGAGCAAACAGTGATAAACTGCTTAGTCATCTGGGTGTTTCCAACTACCCACCCCTCCCAGCCCCCCGACCCCACGTGGAGATGTTTGAGTTAGTGCGATTCCATGCGGGGGAGATACCCACACTGAGAAAGCAGCGGTCAGAATCTTTTGGCTTCTTTCCAATGGAAAAAATTAAACCTGTTATTCAGGGTCCACTGCCCAGGGCTGGGACACTGTACTGGCCAGCGGTGATGGTAGGGGAAGTGGGACAGTGAGAAAGGGCACCATGGGAGAAAGCAGAAAGCAGGAGGCAGTCGTGAGATGATGGTTTCCAGACAGCCGCACCCTCACACCCTGGAGTGTAGACACACGCGGGATGTGTGTGTAAGTGAAGCAGGGACCAGGGCTCTCAGCTGAAACGAGATGGAATGTCTGGGATCGGTTTTCCAAATTGTGTGGCACCATCTTGGAATCATTTCCTCCTTTGTTCGTTAGTTTATGATCTGAGAGCTGTTGCCAACAGTAGTGGAGAAAAGAGACTAAATATTCCAGTGGACTGATGGCTGACATTTATCTTGGGGAATCAGGTTGGCAAGAGCAAACAGGAAGGCTTTTCACCTCTCTCTCTCTCTGATTCTCCTTTCTTCTAAGGATGTGTTTGACCCTGCCCACCACCACTGAGCTGCCTGCTTCCCTGCTTTAACTCCCAGCAGAAGTACCTTCTCAACTCAGACCAGAGGCAGGTTACCTTAGAGGGGAAGCCCAAAACCTTAGGGGCAGAGGGACAACCAAAGATAAAAGTATCTGGGTCAGGGGTGCCTTGCTGGCTTAGTCAGAATGGCATGCAATTCTTGATCCCGGGGTTGTGAGTTTAAGCCCTACATTTTGGGTAGAGATTACTTAATATAAAGTCTTAAAAAAAAAAAAGTATCCAGGTCAGTTCCCAGGTTCTCCTCCTTCACTCTATCTACAGCCCTTCTCCATTTAGTTACTGGACACCCTTAGAATTCCAGCCTAAAACAAATGAGTCTTCTATCCCCTCCCACTGCCAAGATGGGTCCCAATTACTTGGCATCAGAGACGTTTACTCAGGGGCTCAGCTCCTTACAATTCATCTGGTCTTTGGAACCCTTGGAAACACTCTTAATCAGATTTTTTCCCTAACGCCTCCCATTCCAATGCAAGAAAACTCCGTCCCAGGGAACTTCACAGTAGCCTTCTCTTCTAATTTCTGATGGGCTCCAATTCCACATCCTGCCTATGGGCATTGGGATTGAAGTCTGGAGTTCTGGAAGCATTGGCAGTAGAGGGTGTGACTGCACCACACTTGTTATATAGTGGAGAAAATTCCAAGTTGGGAGATCAGTCACAGATATTAGCTCACCTGGCTCAAGCTCACTCACTACCACACAGTTGGAAAGAAGCGTTACCAAAGAGATGAGTCAGCTGGCACTGTTCCAGATGGCTGGACCGAGTGGACCTGTGCTCTCGTGGCTGAATTAAGGAGCATGTTGGAGTTGGACGTTGACTTTAGGGGAGAAACACAAACTGTACCATGAGCATTTGAGGACCATTTGGCTTGGTGTTTACATTTATTTCAGTTCTTACGATTGCTCTAGATTATTCCAGCCCAACATTATATCTTTGTCGGCTGAACTCATGGGTACTCAGCATGTGCCCTGGCCATTTTCCACAGAAACTAGAGGCCTTCCCTTTACTCATACCAGCTCATGCAACAACAGCCTGAAACCCCAGGGCCCTAATTTCCTTTCCTGAATTTACTGGGCTTCACAAAGAAGGATATCAGAGAAGGCCACTCAGGCACTAGAGAATCCTCCCACCCAAAGTTGAACTTTTTATTCTAAAAAAACAGAAATCAACAGATCAGGACAAAGGTGACTAAATCAATAAGAGCTTTATTTTATTTTATTTCATTTCTCGAGAGGGGGAGAGGGAGCACCTGCGTGGGTGGGGGAGGGGCAGAGATAGAGAATCCTAAGCAGGCTCCATGCCCAGGGCATCAGGCTCCATCTCACAGCGGTGAGAACATGACCTGAACCAAAATCAAGAGTCAGACACTTAAGTGACGGAGTCACTCAGGCGCCCCTCAACAGGAACTTTTTAAGCAGGCCTTTATAATATGTGTTTTTAAAGCCAGGATATTGACATGTAATTTAAGTTCCATGAATTTTGTGATTTGTTGGGGGGGAGGGAGTGGTTTGTATTTTTACTTGTGATAAAATAAGCATAAGAAAATGTGCCATTCTAACCACTTTTAATGTATAGTGTTAAGTACATTCACGTTGTACAACCAATCTCCAGAACTCTTCATCTTGCAAAATGGCAACTTTATACCCATAAATAATAGCTCCCTGTTCTCCCCCAACCCCAGCCCTTGGCAACCATATTTCTCCTTTGTGTCTGTATGAATATGACCACTCTAGGTACCTCACAAAAGTGGAATTTTCTGATGTTCGTCTTTTTCTGACTGGCTTGCTTCACTTAGCATAATGTTCTCAATGTTCATCCATGTGTCAGAATTTCCTTCCTTTTTAAGGCTGAATAATATTCCACTGAATGGATATACCACAGTTTGTGTATCCAGACAGCCGTTAATTGTCGTTTGGGTTGCTTTCACCTTTTGGTTGTTGTGAATTATGCTGCTGTGAACATGGGTGCACGCCTATCTCTTCAAGACCCTAATTTGTATGGTTTGTGTCTTTTAAAATTGAGTGAGGGAAGGAGCCTAGAAGAATCCCATGTCCCATGGTTTTACATTTTTTTTACCATTCAGAAAAAAAAAAAAATCAGGAATGCAGCACTAATTTCAGCAGGCAACCTCTTTCCAGCTTCTTACCGTGCTGACTTTTCAAGGGCTTCTTGTGCTTCAGTGCTTTGTGAGTACTTTGCAAATTGCCATTAATAGAAGGTAGCAGCAGTCGGGACATAACTCAGTGATTGAGACACTGATCAAAGACGAAATTATCAGGGACTTAGTGTATTACTGAAACCCACTGTTCCACTTTCCCTTCATGCAGGACTTGAAATCCCACACCATCCTTCCCCAGGTCAAGAAAGCACATGGTCCGAGGGTAAAGTGGGTGAAGTCCAGCGACAATCTGCTTAACCACTGAGTGCCCTTCTCACTGGCAAAGACCTATAAATAACACCTGTGATCCTGTTTCAAAGTTAGCAAAGAGGCAAGGGCTCAGGGGTCACTAAAATAATTTCATGAACAAATTGGTCCAAAAAACGATCTGTGACTAAATCTGAGAGGAGCCAGCCAGCCATGTGGACAGATGAGACTCCTCCCCTGCAGAATCAGCCTCTCTCTCATGCCCTACATTGTCTGCACGTATGTATAAGCTATATTCTAGATCATTTGGCATTCAAATAGCTAAGTCGGCTCCTCTCAGCTCAGAGATGATTGGGGAGCTGAAGTGTTAGCGTTCTGCCCTCCTACAAGGAGGAAAGAGAACAGTTCAGGAACCAGAGAAAAGCTTATTCATCTCATCTCATCTTTCAAGACCCTGAGACAGAATCCTCCACAGCCCCCCCAGACACAGGGTCCCCCAGCATTACATGCACAGAAATCAAACGCATATCCATTATCGGAGAAATCGCAGGGAAGTGGGGCTATGGTGACAGATTTTGAAGAGCAAACATGCACCTTTGTGCTGTGTCTTCTTAAAATTCATCCTCTCACCTGCCAGCCTTGAGAATTGCCTATTTACATAACTAGCTGCCTAAAATGGCATATTAGATAATGTTACATGGTGCCTCTCTCAGTCTGAGCCCGTCCCCAGGACAGGAGTGATCCAGAAGTCCTCCAACAGCAGGTAGCATGGCTCGCTGGCCCGCAGCCATGCCTCCGTGCGGCGTGAGCCTGTCAGCGCTCCCGAGCTAAGCAGATGTCAGGCCTGATCGCCGAGGTGGGAGACCAGCGAGCAGCAGGGGGAGGGGATGTGAGTCAGCAAGTGGCATGGTGGCACACCCTCTTCAGGGGACAAACAGCATCTCTTCTGAGCTTCACAGCGGGCACCTTGTTCTGCCCAAGGTGCTGTCTCAGAGACCGCCAACATGTCAGGGCTGAGAAGGGGGAGCTGCAGGGTCTATGAGGACAGCCGGTACAGGAGGTAATCAGTCAGCTCCGATGCCATCCCTGGCGCTGCGCCAGCCTCGAACCCCCCGTTGGCCCTTTCCAAGGCACAAATCTCCCTCCCATCAAGGGATCGCGCTGCTCGCTTGTAAGAGGAGTATAAATAAGTGATAAGGAAGTGTTCTGATGAGGGTAAGCGGGTATAGCTTCTCAGCGGACCAGATGTATCAAAGAAGGCAATTGTGTGTGTCTATTCATTTATTTTTCAGCGTTCCGGTTCCTGTAGTCAGTTTAGAGAAAATCCCTAATCTAGTGAAGGCAGATGGTGCCAATGTCAAAATGAACTCAACAACCACTACTGCGGTCACCTCCTGCTCCACCTCGTCCTCTGCCGTCTCCACCCCACCTTTAATTAAGCCAGTCTTGATGTCTAAGTCAGTGCCACCCTCCCCAGAGAAGATCTTAAATGGCAAAGGAATTTTGCCCGCCACAATAGACAAGAAACACCAAAATGGCACCAAAAACAACAACAAGCCTTACAGGAGACTTTCAGGTATGTGTCTGTGTCGTTAGAGTCGGACTCATGATTAGAGCGCCTCTGGGTCATATTCGTAACCAAGGAGCGGTGTGTTCTTACAATTAAGCAGGTCTGTTTCATTTTAAGGGGGACACAGAATTTATGTGCAAACAGGACCCCTGCCTAAAAATGCGAGGGAGAAATGGTTCTCTTATTTCCGGGTCGGACGAGGTCTCTCGCTTGACTCAGTGGGAGTTGATCCTCTTGACCCGGGAGGCAGGATGCTTTCCACCAACCACAACAGCCCATGCATTGTGATGGTCTTACCGTGTGCTGACAGGCTGGCCTGCTCCCTGGGTTTCCGTGGAAGCCTCAGTGCAGGGAAGGTGGACAACCATAATGATACCCCACAGTACCTCAGGGCGGGCTCGGGACAGTCCCATCTACCCCACTCTGTCCTTTGGTCTAGTTGGTTGCCATGTTGATTCTGTGGTCTGGAGCTACCACTGCCTTTCCCACATAATCAGGTTGGAATTGCCATTCAGGAATGCTTGGACTAGCACAGCAGGTGAGGTGTTGAGGGATTTCTCCCAGATCTACTTCTTGGTTGTCTGCATAGACACTCAGGATGCCTGGAAAGGTGCACTTGGCCAGTCTTTGAGGCAATGGCTGCCCTTAGAGGCCCCCATAGGGATGATATTGGCTTTGGATTTGTTGTAGAACTAAATCTGGCAGTTCTGCTTCCTCCAAAAGACCAAGAAAAGCTATAAACTTTATAATGTCTTCACACACCATGGGCATTTATCAAATGTTGGCTAGAAAAAAGAAAATACAACGAAAACCACCCTGTGAGAGAGAAACTGGGCCCTCTAGTAGGAGCATAATTCTTAATCAACCTAAGAATTGTGGGTCATTTTTATTTTGTACTTTGTGTTAATGTGTATTTTGGTTTTCCTGTCTTACATCTGTAACTTAAAAAAAAAAAATTATTTCTTAAAAGTACTTTGTCCCCAAAGCATTCAGAAAATTTTTACCCTAAAAATGTCTCTATGTACTATTCACCCACTATCAAGGAAGGAAGGTAGGGCCTGGCAGTCTCTTGGAGCCTTGTGGGGCCTCCCTGTGTAGACAGGAGCCCCCTACTCCTGGCTCTCTTCCTGAATGGAAAGTTCAATTTCACTCTGCAGAGCTGGGCGGTAACATCCCTGGAAAAACCAGTAGGCCCGGCTGGGCAGTGTCCAGAGGCAGAAGCGTGACCATGGCTGCCAGCCTGCACCCTGACCTGAAGTTATATGGGGGACGGGGGGGGGGGGTTCTTGTTGTCTGTTGGTTTTGCATTTTGTTGGTTGTTTTGTCTCATTGGGTCTTTTGTTTCTATCTCGCTTGTTTCTATCTCGCTTTGACATTTGGCGGCCAGCTCCTATTGCCCAGCCAAGCAACCTGCTCAGTTGCGGGCCAGTGTGAGAGCTGGTGTGGATCCGGGCCCCAGTCTGACTCCGACAGGCCTGAGGGAAAGAACTCCATGGCAGGCAGCCTGGGGCCCGGCGCCCAGGCCCTCCTTGGTGGGCAGCGAGGGCACACAGGAAACAGGCGTCTCCAGGCCTCACAGTTTTCTAGTCCTAAAAGTGAAGCTAGAGAAAGGTGGGGCGGGGGGGGGGGGGGGGATGGTGCCTGGCTGGCTCATTCGGTGGAACATGCAACTCTTGATCTCGAGGTTAGGAGTTTGAGCCCCACATTGGGCGTGGAGATTACTTAAAAATCAAGTCTTTGAAAGAGAAGAAGATGATGATGACAATGACAAAAACAAAAAGAGGTGGGAGGCATTTTGATAGCCAACCAGGAAATCTGTCTTGGACGTCAGAATGTTTTTTATTGAACCATCATCATCACCACCGATGCAGCCACCAGCACAACCCCCAAACCCTCTTTTAAAAACAGAACACATTCAGTTATTGTGCTCCGAGTAACCTCCTTTTAGTTTGCAGCTATTCAGACCTCTTAAGGAGACATTCCCAAATTTATATACAACCCCCGCCCGCACACCCACCCACCAACATGGCTGCCGGCCTCCCTGAATGCCCAGAAGAGCTGTGTCATCCCTGTGCTTCAGGACTCAGGTGTCTGCTGGGTGCCTTCCAGAAACAGCACAGACCATCTGAGAGGTGGACCTTTGAAGCCTAAAGGGTCCTTAAGGGATGGCCTCACTTCCCCTCCTTCTCCAGGGGGAGGGAGCATTGCTGTAATCCAGAAGGAGCAAAGGATCCATAAGTGGGCATAAAAAGTTCAGCGTCCTTAGAAGTAACCTCACCATGAGCCATCCACAGTCCAGGGAGAAGGCGGGAACTGGAGAAAGCCTAGCCTCTCTGCAGCCCCCCTTCAGCCCCAACAGGCTGGCTAGCCCTGGCTCATTCCCATTTGGAGCAACAGGCCCCGTGCTGGGTGCAAAGCAAGCTGGGAGACTAGCAGGCCCTGCCCTCCAGGCAACTTACAACTATGCAGACACACATAGAGCACACACCCGAACCTTCCCCCTGCCCCTGCCTACAACTCGGCCAGAACATTCCCGAATCAGGTAAACGACATTTCTGGTCAGCGCGGCTGCACGAAAAGCCTGGTGCTGAAGACGTGGCAAAGCACAAGAGAGGCAGGTCACACTGACCTGTCAAGGAATAGTCTCCCACTTAAATGGCTAAAAACCAGCAGGAAGGCAAGGTGGGGGGAGCCGCCCAGGACACAGTGGCCCTTGGGCCTCAGGCCCTCTTCCTGGTCTGCAGCCAGCTATGCCCAAAGTGCCAAGTACCTGGGGAACTCTTCAAGTGACATAAAGTGTGACAGCGTCAGGGCTCCTCGCCCTCCGGTGCCTGCCCCCACCCTCCCCCCGGCCTTGTGCTGCATTTACATCCCTCCCGAAGCTGGACCTGGAACTCGGGGGTCAAAAGGGAGCGCCATTTTCCCCTGAGCGGTTCTTGAAGCATTTTAGCGACCAGTTGGGGGAAAAAAAAAAAAGAAAAAGAAAAAGAAAGAAAGGAAAAGAAAAACAAAACAAACAAACAAAAAACCCAGATTGCCTGACAATGTCTCACTTGTTGGTGCAAATGTGCATTTTTTTTTAATGTAGTCTTAATGCCAAATCCTATTTAGTCTCCTTTTTTCTTATATTTTTTGTTTGTTTCTTAAACCAGAGAGAGAATTTGACCCAAATAAACACTGTGGAGTATTGGATCCCGAGACAAAGAAACCTTGCACAAGATCCCTCACCTGCAAGGTATTTCTCTTTCCATAAAAAATACTTCCTGCTCTCGCTGGGGCCTTTGTCGAAATGTTTGCATGCCACTCTCTGCACACGGCAGGGTGTGGAACCTCGACATGACCCCCAGCTGTTCTTTGTAAGGGAAATGCTTTCTTCTCTTCCATGGTAGCAGAGTGCCTGCCTCAAGCTGGCTGGCTTTTTAAGAAGGAAAAAAAAAAAAAATAGGCTTCCCCTGTTACTTGTGAGGCCAGACAGTAAATTGTATTTATAGGCACTCACAGGCGGTTCTAAACCCTGCTACGTTTTAATGTATGCGGGAGCGGCGGCAACGGCGGCAGCGCCTGAAAGGCAGCCCCGGAGGGGAGGACGAGCGGCCGCGCCCCTGATCCGGCCACGCCGGGTGGCCACGGGGACAGCCGACGCGAGGCGGCCGCCATCGGGTAGCCCCCGGCCCCCGTATTTCACACTGAAGTGCTAGTGCTCCCCGGGCTCGAGGCCGTGGCCCCCTCTGCCCGGTGGCCGGCCGTGTGTGTCCGGGCCAAAGCCAGCCTCCCACCTGCACCTGGATTAACTCTAGCGCGCCCTCACCGTTGCCTTTCATCCAGAGAGGTTTCCGTGGGCTCTGCGCGGAAGCTGGTCATCCTAAGCCATTTTCTGGAGGAAGCTTTGGCTTCTTAACGCCAGGAGTGTAGGGCATGGTTGCGTTTGTGTGGTGTCTGCCTCTTCCCAGCCACAGAACAGGAGCCGTTGCCTTGAAGTTGACTTTTCAAGCACCTCCAAATTCCCATGAATTGCTGTTTCTGAAATGGAGGGCCTGGGGAAGCAGGTTTATGTGCTGATCAAAGAGGCTGTGCTTTTCATCTCTCTTCTCCTTAGACACATTCGCTAAGCCATCGGAGGGCAGTCCCAGGCCGGAAAAAGCAATTTGACCTCCTTCTGGCAGAACACAAAGCCAAGTCCCGCGAAAAAGAAGTTAAAGATAAAGAGCATCTCCTGACTTCGGCGAGGGAAGTACTTCCAAACCAACCGGGGCCAGCGCAGGACTCTCTGCCAGGACCTTCGGGGAGCTCTGGGCCAGAACCGAAAGTCGCATCCCCTGCAAAATCCAGGCCGCCTAACTCTGTGCTTCCTAGGTAAGTCCCATTCGGCAGTAGAAGCCCTGAGTCCTTGGTCAAGTGGCTCTGCCTTGCTGGGTCGTGTGTGGGCTGATCACGTGGCATCTGGAAGTCGTAAGAGCCCTACCTCGTAAGGCGGTTGTGAAGTGTAAGTGAGATCACAGGCATAAGGGGCTCGGCCAATGCCCACCGTATAGTGTTCAGTGGGTGTTCCTGCTGTCGTCATCCTCATCACCATCATCACCATCATCACCATCATCATCATCACCATAGCAGATCTATTTCAGACAGTATGTGTTTTTACAGAGCAAGAGTAATCTGGAAGTTAATACCTGGAAAGGCTGAGCTATATCAGCCACCGGGCAACTTTCTGGTGGCCTGGGTTTTTAGATTAGTTGGACGCTCCCGACACAGAGTGGGGTAGTCCTCACACCTTAGGAGCCCATTTGCCACGATATCTTGTGACTTTTTTTCCACGAGTCTCCTCTGATCGGGGCGAAAGGAAAATTGGCATCACAGAGGCTGTTTGTCCTTACATTTCCCTCCACACCAAGAAAGCTGAGCCATCTGTTTGGGGTTTTATTTGGTTGTCCTGGACAGAAAGGAAAGAACAGAAAACAGAATTAAAACCCATGTGGATTAAGAACGATTTAAAATCTATGCGTGTCTGTTTTGATGGGCCGTGGGGTACTAAGCAGCCGACTGATTTCCAGGTAATAAGACAGGGAGCCCTTCATTCCCAAATATTTATCTAGTGCTTGCTTCATAAGCAAGGTACAGACAGACCTCGTTTTATTGCGCTTCACAGATACTGCAATTTGTTACAAATTGAAGGTGTGGGGCAACCCTGCATCGAGGAAGTCTGTTGGTGCCATTTTCCCAACAGCAATCGCGCACTATGTCTCTGTGTCAACGAAGTGTTTGTTAATTAGAGTATGTAAATTAGATATAATGCCATTGCACACTTAATAGACTATAGTACAATGTAAACATAATTTTTCTATGCACTGGGAAACCCCCCTCCCCAAAAATGAATTCGATTCACTTTATTGCAATATTGGCTTTATGGCAGCAGGGTGGAACCAAACCCATGATGTCTCTGAGGTATGCCTGTACTATGTTAGGTACTTCCAAGCAGTAGTACAGAGATGAACGAAATTAGAGCCTGCTTTTTAAGAATCTAGAGTTTAGGGGTGCCCAGGTGGCTCAGTCAGTTCAGCGTCCAACTTCAGCTCAGGTTATGATCTTGAGGTTCATGGGTTCGAGCCCCATGTTGGACTCTGTGCTGACAGCTCGGAACCCGGAGCCTGCTTTGGATTCTGTGTCTCCCTCTCTCTCTCTGCTCCTCCCCCACTAGCACTCCGTCTCTGTCTCTCTCTTTCTTTCAAAAATAAACATTAAAAATTAAAAAAAAAAAAAAAAGAATCTAGAGTTTAGAAGATAAGACTCAAATATCCAGAACTTCATGAAAAGGAAACATTAATAACAAAATATGAGACTTGCAGATAGTGGTATTTTCAGATCATTTTTAATGCGTACAGTATGAATCTCAAGGGGTAATTGTTTAGTCAGCAAGTAGGCATAAAGAGAACACAGTTGTGGGCGCCTGGGTGGCTCAGCCGATTAAATGTCCGACTCTTTATTTCCGCTCAGGTCATGATCTCACAGTTCATGAGCCTACAGTGGGGAGCCTACTAGGGATTCTCTCTCTTCCTCTCTCCCTGCCCCTCCCCTGCTCGCATACTCACTCTCTGTCTCTCTTTCTCTCTCTCTCAAAATGAATAAGCTTTTTAAAAAAATTTTTTTAAAGATTAAAGAGAACATAGTTATAAAAGAAGGGGATGGAGTTGATTTTTAAAGCAAAAGCAAATATTTGATGACAGTTGTTACTGATCTACTGGGTTCTCACCTTCATGCCTTCCACTGGCACAAGCCAGATCCAGTTTGATAGCCAGAGTCCCTCTGTCAGAACCGCCGACCTTGGCTTCAGGTTCAGGAGGACACAGTAGATGGAATGGCCCCACACACACATTTCCTGCATCATAACCATTGCTGTGTTGTTACTACCAACTTACGTGCCCCACCATTTTGCAGGATCATTTTACAACTACTCCTTACTGTCACGCCAGATGTTGGTGAAGGATATTACCTTTCCTTAGCTTTGGAGTTCAGCAGATGGTTCTGTTCCAAATTTCTGGGAGGGGATTCAAGCCTATGTACAGCGGCTTTCAAACTTTTTTGTGGCTGTAGAACTTTTTTATTCCTACAAAACCGTACATGGTACCCAATATAAAAGCAGACTTTGGAGCGCCTAGGTGGCTCAGTCGGTTAAACATCTGACTTCAGCTCAGATCATGATCTCACAGTTCGTGAGTTCGAGCCCCACGTCGGGCTCTGTGCTGACAGTTCAGAGGCTGGAACCTGCTTCAGATTCTGTGTCTCCCATTCTCTGCCCCTCCCCTGCTCATGCTCTGTCTCTCTCTGTTTCTCAACAATAAACATTAAAAAAAAAAAAAAAAAAAAAAAAAGCAGACCTGCCTCCACCTAACTCCAGCTCAGCTCTGCTTCCATCACACATATAACTCACAGCCTGCTGTCCCCCCAGCCCACCCGAGGGATCCCTGTCAAGTCCCCAAGGGCTCCGGGGAACCCAGTTTGAAAACCCTCCTTTATTGTATGGTTCAGGTTCACCATCAAGATGGAGGCATTTCTCACCCTAGCAGACAGAGTACCTGGTGTGACGGAGAAGCCATGGGGCAGCTGTTAAAAAAGCAAAAACAGGCAGTGGAGGTTTAAGAGCTGCTTCTTAATGTTCCTTTTTTACTTAATTTTCCAGGGAATGTTTGTCAATAGAGAAATGCCAAGTGTTTATGTTCTCATAAGGAAGCAGAAGAAAGAGAAAGAATGAGGTTAATCAGCAAAAAGAATGTCTCTGAATGGAAGAGGCAAAGGGGGTGCATTATAAATGTTGGCTAACAATAATTGTTAAAGATGTTTTTCAAGGTTGAGGTAGGCACTAGAAAACTCAGGGATGAACTCTGCTCAAACTTTGTGGGAAATAATGTTCTTTTTCACTTGGTTTTACTTAGGATGAAATGCCATACAATCAGGGATTGAAAAAGCATGATCAGAATTTAATGCCCTCCTTGGGGCGTCTGGCTGTCTCAGTCAGTAGAGCATGTGATTCTTGATCTCATGGTTGTAAGTTCAAGCCCCATGTTGGGTATAGAGATCACTTAAAACTAAAATCTTTAGGGGCGCCTGGGTGGCTCAGTCGGTTAAGCAGCCGACTTCAGCTGAGGTCATGATCTCACAGTTCGTGAGTTTAAGCCCCATGTTGGGCTCTGTGCTGACAGCTCAGAGCCTGAGGCTTTCTTCAGATTCTGTGTTTCCCTCTTTCTGCGCCCCTTCTCTGCTCTCACACTCTGTCTTTCTCTGTAAAAAATAAATAAACATAAAAAAAACTAAAATCTTAAATAAAAAAAAAGAATTTTAATGTCCTCACCTAAAACATAAAACATTGTTTCCTCATATTCATGATATACAATACATATAATATTTCAGTCACAGGGCGCCCGGGTGGCTCAGTCAGTTAAGCGGCCGACTTCGGCTCAGGTCATGATCTCGAGGTCTGTGAGTTTGAGCCCCACGTCGGGCTCTGTGCTGACACCTCAGAGCCTGGAGCCTGTTTCGGATTCTGTGTCTCCCTCTCTCTGATCCTCCCCCGTTCATGCTCTGTCTCTCTCTCTCTCTGTCTCAAAAATAAATAAACATTAAAAAAAAATTTTAATATTTCAGTCACAGTAATTATTGCTAATTGGCAAAAAAATTATCACATGTAAATGGAAATATTGTAATCCCTTCGCAATCATGAATTCCTTTTGTAGGAAATGCTACCACGTGTGAATTTCTTTTTTTGTTTGTTTATTTTGAGAGAGAAAGAGAGAGCACATCCCCGTGTGCACAAGCCGGAGAGGGGCAAAGAGAGAGAATCCCAAGCAGGTTCCGCACCGTCAGCACAGAGCCCAATGTGGGGCCCAAACTCACAATCCGGAATGTGATATGGTGACCTGAGCCAAAAATCAAGAGTCACACGCTTAACCAGCTGAGCCCCCCCAGGTGCCCTGTGTGAATTTATTTCTTACATATTGTTTGGCAACTTTGAAAATATTTCACTTCTCATATTCTTGAACTGCAACCCATTCTTGTCAAGGGTTCCTGAGAAAAGAACTTAGGTCTAGAGCTGGACAAGTTTAAGTCAGATAACAAGCATTGGAACAAGGTTGGAAGTGCAAACATCAGCTCCATGCTTGCTAACAAGATGAGCACCATCCTGTTTCTGGGTTTCTCCAGCTTCAAGCAGCTCATCTGTAAAGCAGAGCTAAGAAGAATTAAGTGATAAGTACTAAGCTCCTAATAAGCACTCAATTAATGGAAACTGGTAGTCAGTCATAGTAGCATTTCATGGGAAAGCAGTGTGAGTAATAAAGGCCTTGGTGCCACCTAATTTCCAGTTGCCCATCCTTCTGGCCACTGCTTACCAACCTGGGGGCCCTTGAATAACATGCTACTGTGCTCTGTTTCTTCGTCCCGACTCTAAGGGAACATCCCAAGAGCTATAGATGACCAGACTAACCAAAACCATGAGGATTCTTTAGGAAAGGGGGAGGAGAGCAGAGGGTTAAGCCAGGCTCTGACAAGCCAGTCTCTGGCCCCCAGGAGGGAGGGAGGAAAAGATAGGCTGTGGAAGCCAAGACTGACAAAATCTAGGCACATTCCCTTCTGTCTCGTAGACGCTCGCACATCTAATCTTAAAGTATAAAAATGGCAAAATCCAATGACTCTTAGACTGACAAGGGTAGTGAGGAGACAGGCAGAAGGTTCTGGATACCTAAAAAAGGGCAAAGATGCTTCTGGAGTGAAAGCGACTGCAACTTATGCCTCATTAGGACAAATGTTATGGCTACACTGTAAGCCTCAGCTGAATATTTGTCCCTCTGCTTTTTCTACATCCATTT